ATGTGACCTCCAGATCAGTAAAATTAGGGGTGCTGGAAGAGCTGCATAGGGTCCACTAGTATTTAATATTAGCCTGTACTGGCTCAATAAAATGTGACCTCCAGATCAGTAAAATTAAGGGTGCTGGAAGAGCTGCATAGAGTCCACTAGTATTTAATATTAGCCTGTACTGGCTCAATAAAATGTGACCTCCAGATCAGTAAAATTAGGGGTGCTGGAAGAGCTGCATAAAGTCCACTAGTATTTGATATTAGCCTGTACTGGCTCAATAAAATGTGACCTCCAGATCAGTAAATTTAGGGGTGCTGGAAGAGCTGCATAGAGTCCACTAGTATTTAATATTAGCCCCAAAAAAGCGGTCCTGGTCGAGCCTTGGCTTTAACGAGTTGGAAGCAACCAGAGAGATGGTTAGATGTATAAATTTGGGGATTGAAGTGGTTTGCAATAACCAGAGAGATGTTAAAAAATTGAACAACAGGTTGAACAAAAAAGCATGTGTAAAAAGTTATCGAGTGATAAAATAGGACAAAGGAGAAAGCATAGATATGATCTTAGGCAGCTAGACGCCAGCTAGCTCATCGCGGTGTCACATGACTTTAATACCACAATATCATTGGTCATCTATATATCCAATGCGAAATATAAATATAGCGCGTTTTTCATGAATTAGTAGCGCCGTACAAAAATTAAACAGTTTGGAACAAAATTACAAGTTTTCAGTTTACAGAAATATTGAAACATTTCAATTTTTGTTTGCATGAAGGTTCTAATGACTTAATAAAGTCGTTTAGATAATAAAAATACTACAAAGATACCAAGTAAACTCACAAATATTGCAACTTGGTTAAAAACAATGCACTTAACTGTTTTGGTGGCGCGCGCGCGCCATCTCAGTCAATTACTCCCATATTTGGTCAAATAGGATAATAGGGACGCAGAATATGCGTCCCTCTAAAATGTCCGATTCCCTTTATGGTATGCCCCTTTTTCCGCCTTCGGCGGCGCGCGCTTCGCGCGCGAAAAGTGGCATGCAACGTATGTCAAGGCCAGACCATTAACAATGGTCAACCCAGTAACCCATATTATATGATCCAGATCAAACCTGTTGTCATGTATTTTGTATTTAAAATCAATATGCACACTTAAATAAATCACTCGGAATACTTTTTAAATTGACGGGTGTTACTCGTTTAAATTTCTTCGAAGTAGCGCGCGCTGATTTCTTCACTGGCCCGATGGCAAGTGCTAGGAATTAGTGCGCACCGGGCCAGACCATTAATAATGGTCAATGTTTCGCCAGATATATCATAACAATGATCCCAGATTTCGGCTCATCATGATCAAAGTAATTGGAAGACTTCGCCGCTTCGACGCGCCGCGCAAAATAGCATTCTTCATGAGCAACGATCTGGAAGGGTTGACATCGTCAATCAAGATCAGAGTCCCAGTCCGTGGTAGCATGAAACGTAAAGAAAAATGATTTACAGGAAAAGTCAAAGGGGAAGGTCAGGCCATGATTACGTAATATTGCTGTCAGGGGGGTTGGGTTTTGATTACCAATTACGGTTTGCGGTTGATTACGGAGGGGGAGGGGTACAAATATTGATTACATATTATGTGAACGACCCCGTATAGGGAGCGCTTAATTGTTATGTGTTATAAGTTTGTAGCGCGATGCGTTACTGTGCCGCGCCGCGCACTCAATGAGGCTTCTCACAGATCGGCGAGATGCGCTACTGTGCCGCGCCGAGCTGAGATGAATTGACATCGTCAATTAAGTTATAAGTATAACACTTACTGGAAATCAAAATAAAAGGGAACCCAAAATCAATAATCATCAAGACTCATCAACAAAGCCTTTATTGTTTATGAGTCGCATGGTTGCAATGTATCCTTTTATAGTTTCAACACTACTATATAACAAATAATTTGAGATTATGAATACGATGTTGTAACACTAACATCGAAACGTCGAGAAATTCCTTTCCTGACAAGAGCATTTTTCCTTTTGGCATCAAACGGGATCAATACAAATTTACACAATAATACATATTTAAAGTATTGATATCAGGAAATCAGGAAAACGTCTGTATAGACGCAATTCGAAAGAAGGTCTGTAATGAAAAATTATGGGGTGAGGGATGGTCTTAAATAGCTAATATGTGGCCTTTGTAAATAATGAACAATCTCTCATTTCGCCGGCCTAAGTTAATATCAAGTATTGGCCGAATTTGGCTACATCTTAGTAAAATTTTAATTGGGGTTGTTCCTTATAATAGATCTAAATTGTATTTTACAATCTTATTGGTAGTGTGTAGTGGCAAACTTATTTTCACTTGAAAATATATAAATTTTTTTGTAAAGACCCGGCAAAGAAACTCTTATTATAACAACCATGCCCTCAAACAGTTTCGTTTACCAATCTAGTTGCCTTTGGAATTCATTCCGTCAGATGTTGGCACTGAACGCAGTGGCGTAACTTTGCCTGTTGGCGCCCCCCCGCTCAGTGACGAAAAGCGCCCCCCTAAAAATTTTGTGTCCCTAAAGCAAAAAAATTTTGCGCCCCCTGAAGCAAAAAAGGGTACCCCAAATATTTTTTTCGCGTCGACCGTACGCTAAATTGGACAGGGAAATACACAAACAAGGCGTTTTTTCAGTGAAAGGGCCTAAAATTCAGGAAAATTGCGCCCCCCTTATACGGCGCCCCACGCACAGCGGGGTCTGCGGGGCCCTAAGTTACCCCACTGACTGAACGACCTTGAAATGACCCATGGTGTATTCAAATCAAAGGTTAAAAAAGTTATTCTCTCGTCCCAGTGTAAAGGTGACCAGAATACCTGGGCCCCTTTGGCAAACTTCCTGAACTCAGGCAGCTTGAACGACTGAATTTGAAAAGTAAAACTTCTTGTCTAAATGAACTATTAGAACCTCAAGAAGCTGATCCGCATGTCTCCGCTACTAAAATGTTTAATGAGCCCAATCACTCATCACTTAACGTAGTTTAATCTTCAAAGTGAGTTGTACAATCTAGGTTGTTTTAAGTAGCTGTTGATCGTTAGTTGATCGTTAGTTGTCATCCGGCCAAACATTAAGCAACTTATATTGCAGTACCATTTACCATTTAGTATATCAAAATATGTCATTGTATTTTTGCATGGCTGAAATGTAACGCTTGATTTATATATATAATGATTAATTGAATTTTCAAATAAAAAAAAAAAAAAGTGTAAAACAGGAGTGACCTGATCGTTTTCATAACTTCGCTTTACAATTTGTACCATAATAAAATTAGCACTGCCATGGGGTTTAAAAAGGGTCATTGTAAGCCTCCAGCGTAATGGTCCTAAGCAGGGACAAAAGGATTTCGCGGCATGTACAAAATCGCGAAATTTCCCATTCTCCACGACAAATTTTATGTATAGTTTAATGTATAGCCTGTTAAATTTCGCGGTACCGCGATTTTTGGCCAAAATAATCGCGAAATCCTTTTGTCCCTGGTCCTAAGTCTCTGCCCCATGCGGTGCCTGTCAGCATCAGCTAACAGATTAGCCCTAACATAACGATCAAGTCACAAATTAGGTCCCTATAATGATTTATGATTGTTGAATAATTTAGAGATTTGAATATAATATTTGTTTTATTCTGAATATTTGTTTTATTCTGTATATTCCAAAGCTCGATTGAAAAAAAAACACTCAATATTAGTAAGTAAGTAAGTAAGTAAGTAAGTAAGTAAAGATTATGACATAACATCATCACAAGTGTCTACAAAATATCATTGCACTGAATAGAAAAATAATTTAAATAAATATACTTTTCCATCAACATTAATAATTTAACAAATTCAATTTTATTAATTTATAAAATCTTATACATTATCTATAAATAATTTATTAATACTTCCCAGTGGAATAATAAAGATTTATAAAACGCTTCTTTGCCACAAAAGGATAAAACCAAAGATATTCATTATGTCTCTCCTTATTGCTTAAATAACTGGGTCCTTCAATTTTCCCTGATACTTCATTCGAAACATTCCAAAAATAAAAATCATTTACATTGTTTTTAGAAATCATTTCTTTCTTAAATCCTTCACATTGTGCAATTAAATATACTTACTGTCGCAACCCGTTAATAAATTACGTAATTCGTATCAGAATTGCTCCAAAATTTCAGGGAATATAGATATGGGTCTAACTTAGATTTCCTGAAAATGTAGTACCCACAAGATCTTAAAAGGGTCGTAACTCGGTTGAATTGTGAACAACCAACTTGGAATTTTGGGAAAGCACTTCAATTATCAAACCAAATGTGTCTAGAAACTTTGGAGTTCCTAGCTCAAAACTTTCTCACCTTATAGTGACAATAGTGAAAAAGAGGGAGTGGCGTGCCACACCCAATGTTATCAATGAAATTATACAAATATAACATAATGGTTATGCTCTTCTGTATTAATATGAACATAATTGGTTTGTTATTGTTAGATAATTAAGATACCTCTCCAGCACATCTAAATTGCTGCGTACTATGAACATATTACTATAGTACTTATAGTATTAATAGTACTATCCTCTCTGTGTTAGTGTTTCCAGTGCTGCTCTCATGGCTGATGCAAAACTAGAGGTTTCGATCTTTTTCTGTTTGACAAAAGTTTCTTGTACTTATAGCAGACCCATTTGACACTTTCTCTTAGAGCATGGCACTATTCCACTGCTCTCCGTTTTAGCTGCTCAACTAATAATGATCTTTTCACTGCAGTGTCTGTGGCCAGGGGCAGGTTTTACTGCATATCCGACCATTCTGGTCACTGAGGCGCAAACAGTAACTTTCGATCCATTGGAATGATCAAACTAGAAGGATTTTAAAATCAATTACAATTAGTTTAGGCTATTTATTTTTGGTAGCAGTAGCACATTAGTAAATACTGCTTTGAAACATTGCTAGATAACGTTATCTTTTCTCTGATAATAAAACTTCTTTCTTTAATCATTTTTGCTCAGCAGGACATGTCCACTCAATTCCTGTGATGTTGGGACAGAACCTAAAAGAGAATCACAGGATAAAGTTTGAGCTGGTGGTAGAGCAAGTAAACATAACATGTACTGATATCAACAAAACAAGCGACATCAATAACATATGCCTTCAACTTTTTTACCATGGTATGAACAAGAAAATATATTTTTGCCAAAAGCTTCTTATTGGTGTCACTGGTATAGTTTTTAGGCACCATTTGTATTGCACTATTTATCTCAACAAAATCCAAGAGTTTACAAGCAGTTAACACTCACTTATTCAGGATCATCTGGAAAAGAAGCAATCGAAACGGAGTGCATCACTAGCAGTAAACGTGTTAGTTTAACTGGATTGCAGTACGTCCTTACCTGGAAACATCATCAAATTCTTAAATTTTCCGTCACCCTCTCAAAGCGAAAAGGTAATTGGTGATGTATTGTATTTTTCCTTTACACTGTGCAGTGATTTTTAAATATTGTTTTCGATAATCATGTGAACAGTTCCCCTATTCTTAAAACTAGGAACCTACGATAAAGCAAAGAAGCCACCAGAGTTGTTCCTCTCTCAAGTTGATCCCTACAGAAATAACCCTGAAAAGTTGGGATCAGCAAAGCTCGACCTTCATGAGCATGCAAACAAAAAAGTTACTGGTCAAACCTACGAACATGATGACAAAATTTCTATCAACCTCCGTAACAACAAGGTACGCACTTTTACACATTTAGAGCTGATAAAGGTGACACTATTTTTTAAATTCTGGTATGTGGTGGACTAAAGACACATATTATATAATATAATCACCAGTGAACGTGATTGCTTTGTATTACTCACGGGAAACGAATTGAAGCAAATTTCATATTGTATCTTGATAAATGACAGAATCATCGAATCAACTTAACCTATAACATCCTTTGTACTTTACTCCGCGGAATCTGACATCGGAATTTTACTAATTTCAGAAGATATTATCATGCGAATTGATGGTAAAATACCGAATACCGGACACGGATCCTAGTGTAATAGATACTTCCTCAATACACTCATCAGTAATGACACCTTCTGTTAGTATCGAGACTATCAACTCACTTGACACCAGGGCATTTTCTCACAGAACACTGGAGACACCTATTTACAAGTGAGCAACAAGAGTTGTTTAAAGCTAGGGTGAACCTTTAAAGTTATTTAATATAATTTTAAGTTATAGGAGTGTTATAAAGTTGTTGTACTCTATAAGTGTATATTCACCTACAAGCATAACTGCTTGGCGTGATGAGGTACATCTTTGATTGGTCGAAGGTCTTTCAACAACACAGCATCATCACTTTTGTAGTAGTTTAAAGTTATTTAATAAACTGTTTATTATTTACAAGTAAGTAACCTTAAAAGTTATTTAATAAACTGTTTATTATGCACAAGTAAGTAATTTTTAAAGTTTACTTTATTCAATATAATATTTATTATTTACAAGTAAGACTGCTCGAGCAGCACGCCCTTTGTTTGGAGTTATGTTAGGTGTGGTCAGCTAGTTAAGCCGATAAATTCTATTATGTTTTACATACCTTATTTTACTTACAACACTGTGAAACTATTTTGACACCGGCTACTGAACAAGTCCCTCTCCGCCTAATAAATTTTTGAAATATAAAATATGTTACATAAAACATTTAATATTATAAACATTTACAGTCTCTATAGCTGACTGTGTGCGGGTCACTACTTGTAACTTAACTTTTAAAAAGTTTTGAAATATAAATATTATTGTTACGGTACATAAAACATTTAATATTAGAAACATTTACAGTCTCTATAGCGATGAAATGCAGACAGATTTACATTGTAATTTTTCTGGTTCAAGTTGGAGACTGTGCGTGGGTCACTACTTGTAACTTACACCTTGAGCTTTTAGCGATATAATATTTTACAAATATTTAACTTCTTTTACCGACCACGTACCTGATATGAGTCGTGCTGCAGTGGTGGGGGGGGGGGGGGGGGGGGAACCGTTCTCACTTTGACCTTGTCAAGTTCTTATTTGTTATTATATCTCCATCTCGTTCTCTGAGAGGTAATTGTTTACATACTCTATTGAATTATCATCACTCCCCAGTCCCCACCCTTGAGCTGAACGTATCAGTATTCAGTTCTCTTCTAATCTAACTAGATACACAGTACGTGACACTCTAAATCTAACTAGATACACAAACACACACACACACACACACACACACACACACACACACACACACACACACACACACACACACACACACACACACACACACACACACACACACACACACACACACACACACACACACACACACACACACACACACACACACACACACACACACACACACACACACACACACACACACACACACACACACACACACACACACACACACACACACACACACACACACACACACACACACACACACACACACACACACACACACACACACACACACACACACACACACACACACACACACACACACACACACACACACACACACACACACACACACACACACACACACACACACACACACACACACACACACACACACACACACACACACACACACACACACACACACACACACACACACACACACACACACACACACACACACACACACACACACACACACACACACACACACACACACACACACACACACACACACACACACACACACACACACACACACACACACACACACACACACACACACACACACACACACACACACACACACACACACACACACACACACACACACACACACACACACACACACACACACACACACACACACACACACACACACACACACACACACACACACACACACACACACACACACACACACACACACACACACACACACACACACACACACACACACTCGTTTGTACGTTTACACAATAGAGCTGGACCTTTGTCATATTATTCTGCCTCATTACTCTTATTATTCCTAACCACATCTAACTGCGAGAGTGTGGTAATTATAATTATATCATGTGTGCTACTGCAACCAACGCTCAATCTAATTGCAGGCTGCTGAACGAGATACATCTGATAGGGCTGGATGGAAACCTGTACTCGGCAGAGTGGAGCAAGATGAGACTCATCTTCTTCGTGTTCGGTACCATGCCGGATTTTATGAGGAACTTGAAAGATCTTATTCAAACGGTAATTTTGTGTGTAACTGTGTGTGTGTATGACTACAAAACGTGTGAAATCTGTGAAATGTGCGAATAGAAACATTTCGTTTGAAATATTTATAGGCTATAAAAACTAAAAAGCGGAGCAGTCTATAGTAGTACATGGGAGGCCAAAAGTCAGTGCACACGTTATGTTGGCCTTTATAGTTCAGTCACTGAGTGCTCGATCGATATAATTATTTCTGGTATGACTTACTATCACCACTCATTCGAGGAATACATCAAATCAAAGAATATTCGTGTTCATTTTTTTCGAATGAAAGTTCATTTTTGCATTTATTTGATAGATTAAATGATCGGATCTAGCCAAATTTTATTGAATTGTGTTTGGCCATTCGAATTACATTTGCCCTGAAACAAATGAGAGTTCTAGCTTCTCAGAAGTGAGCTGACCGAGATATGAAGCATAACGGGGTTGTTCATTAAGTGTGATCAGGTGATTGGGTTGAAACTAGATCTGCATTATGGGAATCGTGCAGAGAGCCCAATTACAGTTTCGTAGACGGAATCCTCGAATGAGTAGCGACAGTATATCATCTGCAAAGTTACAGGTCTCATTTTAATATGAAACACGGAGGTGGTATAAGACCCAACGTATGGGTATTGGTTACTGATTTTTATCCCCCTGTAGTTAGCAGCTTTATTCTCCTTGCATTATATAAAGACGGCAGATAATATGTTCACGCTATTTAGCACTTAGCAGTCTAGAGTATAATATATAAGTATGTAGCGTTGAGATACTCACAGCACATTCTTTTCAATGTCTATTCTGATCGGAAAAGAAAGGGCATCATTAAACATTGTACGATGAAGCAGACTAAAATCTGGAGCCTGAGTTCTGATCATCTTTATTCTTACATTTAAGTCACGGGCATTCGGCTACCAGGGCGATTTATAATAAACTGATTTAATCCAATTTAGGACAGGATTTCAATCTCAAATCAGTCTACTACTTTTTTAATATTTGAAAATTTGATTAATTATTATATAATATCCCAATATTAGTAGTACCGTAGTCTTTTCAGACGGATCCGTCTGAAAAATCGATCTACCAATACAAGAAACTTCCAAAGGATTTTTGACGTTTTTGAGTCCCATTAGGTGCCCTTTTCCAATTTTTTCCACGTATCTTACTATTACCACTTTTTACCACCTTTCTTATTTGTCGAATATATTTAGTTGTGAACATCGTAGAAGGTTGCAAACATTAAAAATGTTTATTGGCTCAAAATGATCGGAATATCTTAAAACACGGAAAAAAGTAGTTTTCAGAAAAACTTCGAAAATTTGTCACTTACATTTTTTTCGAGACTTGGAAATATTTCGAAATTTCGAAATATTTTTTTCGCCAAAAGTGATCAAATTGCATGGAGAAGCCCGAGAAACGTGGAGAAAAATGCTTTTCAAAAAACTCGCTAACTGATTACTGATTTACATTGTAATTGTTCTGGTTCAAGTTGGAGACACACACACACCAAATTTAATGGAAATAATTACCGGACTTTATTATTCACGGACCTTTTCGCCACAGACATTATTTTCACGGACATGTCACATGATTATTCACGCTAAGGTCCGTGATAATAATGACCGATAACGTATACCAGACCTCTTCTTTTCCTCAACAATCAGACCTGAATTGTGCAAGAAATGTGATTTTGGCTAAAATCAACAAGGGTAAGATACGGGCAAGGGTAAGATTTAGATACGGGCGTCAGGCAAGGGGTAGTAAAGAAACAGTAATAATCTAATAACTCAATTAAATGAGTCTCAGGAGAGTCAGGATTTCTTGGAAATTGCTTAGATATAGAGACGACAGATCAGGAAGAATTTATTTTTAAGGATGTTGATTTGGAATTGGGATTAGTGCGACACGTACTCACGTACTGTAGTGCAACACGTACTGTAGTGCAACATGTACCCTATCTAGTGCAAAAACCTCCAAGATCGACATGGTCGCACTTCAGTGCGCTACCTGAACTGTAGTGCGACACAAACTGAAGTGCGACAGAGAATTTCCGACACTGTTTGTTTTGATGTGTGGACTGAGTTCGCTGCAGAAGTAGAAGGGTTCAGGGGGGGGGGGGTCATCAAACTCATAAATACCTATTATTCCCTCCGATTTCAAAATAGGTATATATAATAGGTGTATATGTATGTATATTTATGGTTATTTAAAGGTTTTGTTGGTTTTTCAGTATTTTTCCCACTTTAAACACAATATATTCAATTCTGTTCATGGTGTTAGCTGTTAGTGTTTTAAAGTGTTTTTACTGCATGAGGCGGTTGATATCAAAACCAATTTTTGGGGTTTGGAAAAATTGGCTTTTTTTGCCTTTGTGTACCTTAAACTTGGGTTGTATAGGGTTTTTAATTTGATCAAAGGATTATGAACAGTTCAGACTATCAAAAGATTGCTTATATAGAAGTTTCTGAACATTTTGTACAACAATTAAAAATATTTCAAAAAAATGTTTAATCGAAAATTTAAAAGTAAAAATATATCACTCGACTTACTCGACTTAGGGCGGCTTCAACGTCCGAACAGAGATAGTTTTCTTCCAAATCTGTCTATCCAGCATGAGTTTGTTAATCTCCTTGTTGTCGTCAAGCCCTGTGTCCTTCCGAAGGATGTCAATATATGTGAGGTGTGGTCTTCCCCTTCCCGATGATGTCCTCGAAGGGGTTCCCAGAAGAGAAGTTGATGACTCAGAAGTTCTTCATGTCTGGCTAGATGACCTGCGAGTCTCATCCTCCGTTCAGCTATCTTATCAGATGCTCTGATGAGTTGTCCATACACCTTGGCGTTAGTCTGCCGCTCTTTCCAGTCTGTGTTAAGTGCCATCCTCAGCATTCTCGTATAACATCCATCAATACGTTTTGCGAAAATATATCAAGGTATAACATCCATCAAATATCAATACGTTTTACGAAAATATATCAAGGTCGGCTAAAATCAACAAGGGCAAGGCCAAGGGTAAGATTTAGATACGGGTGTCGGGCAAGGGGTAGTAAAGAAACGGTAACAATCAATTCAGTTAAATGAGTTTCAGGAGAGTCAGGAGTCAGGACTCAGGATTTCTTGGAAATTCCTGAGAAACGACAGGACAGATCAGGAAGGATTGTTTTTAAGGATGTTGATTTGGGATTGGGATTTTGTGAAGCAAAAATACAGGTTCTTCTCGCAGGATATTTGGGGGCCATGATGATCAGCTCGGGATTAATGTGGGACGGATTGAAGAGCATTGGAAAGAGCGAGTTGGCATTTTACGCTTTCTGGTACTGCTACTGTAATTTAATTTAATTATGAAACTCTAATATCGTGTGGTTAACGTTTTTCAGTTTGAGACCTTTCCACTTAGTAACTCCTGATTGCTAAAATCTGCCGACATTTACGGAACTCCAACTGCAAATATTGGTGATTTCAATATTCTTGAAACGAAAAATTCACGGAGTTTTTTGAAAAGCAGTTTTCTCCACGTTTCATGCAATTTTATCACTTTTGGCGAAAAATATTTCGACATTTTTTCTAAAAACTACTTTTCTAGTTTTCTCCGTGTTTTAAGCTATTCCGATCATTTTAATCCAATAAACATTTTTAATTTTTCTAATTAGCTAATTGATAATTATCCAATTAACTGATTGTTTGACGTAAAAGTGGCAAAAAGTGGCCCTAAGACACGTGGAAAAGCTTGGAAAAGTTGGTCAGCAACAAAGGGCACCTAATGAAACAATTTCTAAAATCCTTTAGAAGCTTCTTGTGTTGGTAGATCGATTTTTTCAGACGGATCTGTCTACATGCTATATATCATAATATATGAGAATCAATCGTTTCATCTTAGCCATGCAAATTTACATCGACATTATTTTGAAATAAAACGAATGGAAACAATGGTATTGCAATATAAGTTGCATAATGTGTTACCTACAGTGTAGAAGTAAACGTGGCAATTTCCTATGGACAGTTGCATAATATGACCTCCTTATATATTATACCGAGGATCGCCCAAAGTAAAGTAAGTATATATTAGGACAAATTCAACCATAGGAATATCATCAGCTGTTAATTCACAATCTAAATATATACCTTGACCCCTCCTCTCACAGCTACAAGCAGACCGGACGATAGGCCTGTACGTGGAAGTAGTGCACATCTGTCAGGGAGAGCTCTCTGAACGTGACGTGAGGTACCCCTACCTGCCCCGCAGCGACTATCAGAACCCCACCTTCCACCACATCTTCAATATACAGGAACCACATCCTGATCACCCCAAGATATGTGTCGTCAACGAGAAGTAAGTGAGGTTGTATTGGAAGTAAGTGAGGTTATATTGGAAGTAAGTGAGGTTATATTGGAAGTAAGTGAGGTTATATTGGAAGTAAGTGAGGTTATATTGGAAGTAAGTGAGGTTATATTGGAAGTAAGTGAGGTTATATTGGAAGTAAGTGAGGTTATATTGGAAGTAAGTGAGGTTATGTTGGAAGTAAGTGAGGTTATATTTAAGGTTTTTTTTAACATATTTGATAGATTTACAGATCTGGCTTGACAAAAATTTTCAGAAAAAATCATGTTCGCGGGAAGCAAAAATCCGATGAGTTTTTTAGGGGGGAGGGGTAGGGGGTTGAGGGGGGTTTGGAAGGGTTGTCACATGACGAGAAATTTTTTGCAAAAATTAAACAATCTTTATTTGTTGATATTATTCACCCCTGTTGCCTAGAGTGGTGGGTCTGCACTTGAGAAGAGTGGGTCTGGCCGCTAGAATGGTGGGTCTGCAATCTAGAAGTGGGTCTGGCAACCAGAATGATGGGTCTGTACCCTTAAAGAGTGGTCTGACAACCAGAGTGGTGGGTGTGCACTTGAGAATAGTGGGTCATGCAGCGAGAATGGTGGGTATGCAATCTAGAAGTGGGTCTGTTAACCAGAATTGTGGGTCTACACCCTTGAAGAGTGGGTCTGACAACCAGAATGGTGGGTCTGCACTTGAGAAGAGTGGTTCTTGCGGCTGGAATGGTGGGTCTGCAATCTAGAAGTTGGTCTAGCAACCAGAATTGTGGATCTGCATTCGAGAATAATGAGTCTTCACTCTAGAAGAGTGGGTCTGACAACCAGAATGGTGGGTCTGCACTTGAGAAGAGTGGGTCTGGCGGCTGGAATGGTGGGTCTGCAATCTAGAAGTTGGTCTAGCAACAGAATTGTGGATCTGCATTCGAGAATAATGAGTCTTCACTCTAGAAGAGTGGGTCCGGCAACCAGAGTGGTGGGTCTGCACTTGAGAAGCGTGGGTCTGGCCGCTAAATGGTGAGTCTGCACCCTTTAAGAGTGGGTCTGACAACCAGAGTGGTGGGTCTGGACTTGAGAAGAGTGGGTCTGGCAGCTGGAATGGTGGGTCTGCAATCTAGAAGTTGGTCTGGCAACCAGAATGGTGGGTGTACGTACACCCTTGAAGAGTGGGTCTGACAACCCGAGTGGTGGGTCTGGACTTGAGAAGAGTGGGTCTGGCAGCTGGAATGGTGGGTCTGCAATCTAGAAGTGGGTCCGGCAACCAGAATGGTGGGTGTACGTACACCCTTGAAGAGTGGGTCTGACAACCAGAGTGGTGGGTCTGCACCCTTGAAGAGTGGGTCTGACAACCAGGGTGGTGGGTCTACACTTGAGAAGAGTTGGTCTGGCAGCTAGAATGGTGGGTCTGCGATCTAAAAGTGGGTCTTGCAACCAGAATGGTGGGTTTGCATTCTTGAAGAGTGGGTCTGACAACCAGAGTGGTGGGTCTGCACTTGAGAAGAGTGGGTCTGGCAGCTAGAATGGTGGGTCTGCAATCTAGAAGTGGGTCTGGCAGTTAGAATGGTGGATCTCCAATCTAGACGTGGGTCTGGCAACATGAATGGTGGGTCTGCACCCTTCAGGCTTAAAGAGTGGGTCTGACAACCAGAGTGGTAGATCTGCACTTGAGAAGTGTGGGTCTGGCAGCTGGAATGGTGGGTCTGCAATCTAGAAGTTGGTCTGGCAACCAGAATGGTGGGTCTGCACTTGAGAAGAGTGGGTCTGTCAGCTGGAATGGTGGGTCTGCAATCTATAAGTGAGTCTGGCAGCTAGAATAGTGGGTCTGAAATCTAGAAGTGGGTCTTGCAACATGAATGTGGGTCTGCACCCTTGAAGAGTGGGTCTGGCAATCAGAATGGTACGTCTACACTCTAGAAGAGTGGGTCTGGCAACCAGAATGGTGGATTTTCGCTCTAGAAGGGTGAGTCTGGAAACCAGAAAGGTGGGTCTACAATCTGGAATAGTGGGTCTGGCAACCAGAATTGCGGGTCTGCATTCTAGAATAGTGGATCTTCACTCTAGAAGAGTGGGCCTGGCAACCAGAATGGTAAGTCTACACTCTGTCAACCAGATTTGGGGGTCTATAAACTAGAATATAGGAGATATGGCTACCAGAATTGTGGGTTTGGACAACCCGAATGGTGGGTCTTCACTCTAGAATAATAGGTCTGGTGGGTCTACACTTTAGAAGAGTGGGTCTGGCAACTAGAATGGTGTGTCTGCAATCTATAAGAGTGGGTCTGGCAACCAGAATAGTGGGTCTGCAATCAAGGGAATGAAGATGAGTGAGTCTGGCAATCAGAATGGTGGGTCTGCACCTTAGGGTAGTGGGTCTGGAAACAAGAATGGTGGGTCAGAATTCTTGAATAGTGGGTCTTCACTCTAGCTAAGAGTGGGTCTGGCAACAAGAATGGTGGGTAAAAATTCTAGAATAGTGGGTCTTCACTCTAGAAGAGTGGGTCTGGCAACCAGAATGGTAAGTCTACACTCTGTCAAGTGTCAACCAGAATTGGGGGTCTAAACTAGAATATAGGATATATGGCAACCAGAATTGTGCGTCTGGAGTCTAGAGTCTAGAATAGTGGGTCCGGCAACCCGAAAGGTGGGTCTTCACTCAAGAATAGTGGGTCTGGCAATCGGAATGGTGCGTCTACACTCTAGAAGAGTGGGGCTGGCAACCAGAATGGTAGGTCTTTGCGTTAGAAGAGTGGGTCTGGCAACCAGAATGGTGGGTCTGCATTTTAGAATAGTAGGTCTTGACTCTATACCTACTAGAAGAGTGGGTCTCCTCTCTAGAAGAGTGAATCTGGCAACCAGAATGGTAATTCTTCACTCTGTCAACCAGAATTGGGGGTCTATGAACTAGAATATAGGAGATATGACAACCAGAATTGTGGGTCTGGACTCTAGAATAGTGGGTCTGGCAACCAAAATGTTGAGTCTGCACTCTAATAGAGTGGGTCTGGCAACTAGAATGCAGACACGTAGCCAAGGGGAAGACCCCCGGAATAAAATTAAACCCCAAATAAGCCCCCTAGTCCCCATGGTCGCCTGGTAAGTGGGCTGTGTTTATGACTGTTTGATTAAACGACACGACAGGCAATCGACTTTAGCATTTCGTAAATTATTCCCAAATCCCACTATACAATATGTACTTATTCCATTCAATGTGACAAGTACTGAGTTCCCCCCTAGCCCCCAACTTTGTATTATTGTGATGTCTGAAATTACAAATTTCTAATGCCAAATGTCGTCTGAAACACCCTATTTCTCAAAAATTTTCCGGGGGCTGCACCCCCAACTTTGTATTATCGCCGTCCTACAAATTTCTTTAATGCCTAATGTCGTCTAAAACAAATAATTTCTAAACATTTTCTTGGGGGCTGCGCCCCCCCCCCCCCCCAGCACCCCAACTTTATATTATTGTGATGTCTGATTATTACTGCGCCCCCCCCAGCCCACCAACCTTGTATTATTGTAATGTCTGATTATTGCTGTCCCACAAATGTCGTCTGGAACACCCTATTTCTCAAAAATTTTCCGAAGGCCAGGGCTGCGCCTGCCTAGCCCTCCAACTTTGTATTATTGTGATGTCTGATTATAATTACTGTCCTAAAAATTTCTTTAATGTCAAATGTCGTCTAAAACACATAATTTCTCAAAAAATTTCTGATTGGCTGCGCCCCCCCCCCCTCCCTAGCCAACAAACTTTATATTATTGTGATGTCTGATTATTACTGCCCTACTAATTTCTTTAATGCCTAATGTCGTCTGAATCACCCTATTTCTCAAAAACTTTCCGGGGGGTGCGCCCCCCTAGCCTCCCAACTTTGTATTATTGTGATGTCTGATTATTACTGTCCTACAAATTTCTTTAATGCCAAATGTCGTCTAAAACACATTATTTCTCAAAAATATTCTGGGGGGCTGCGCCCCCCGCCCCCCGGCCCCCCCGGCCCCCCAACTTTATATTATTGTGATGTCTGATTATTACTGTCCCCAAATTTCTTTAATGCCAAATGCCGTTTTAATCACCCTAATTCTCAAAAATTTTCCTGGGGGTTCGCTCCCCTAGCCCACCAACTTTATATTATTCTGATGTATGATTATTGCTGTCCTACAAATTTCTTTAATGCCAAATGTCGTCTGAATCACCCTATTTCTCAAAAATTTTCCGGGGGTTGCACCCCCAGCCCACCAACCTTGTATTATTGTAATGTCTGATTATTGCTGTCCTACAAATGTCGTCTGGAACACCCTATTTCTCAAAAATTTTCCGAAGGCCAGGGCTGCGCCCCCCTAGCCCCCCAATTTTGTATTATTGTAATGTCTGATTATTACTGTCCTACAAATTTCTTTAATGCCAAATGTCGTCTAAAACACATAATTTCTGAAAAATTTTCTGGGGGCTGCGCCTTCCCCCCTCCCTAGCCAACCAAAGGAGCTTCGCCCCGGCTACGTGTCGTGTCGGGCTACGTGCCCAGAATCGAAAAAACTTAATCTTTAAATGAATAACGGAACCTTCATTATGAAGTTACGAGATGATAATATAATTGGGAGGCAAAGTGGGTATCGGGCTTGGGGCTCATAATGCGCAAAATTTGGCCGCTGTCGAGTGGGTCTGCCTAAAATTCACAGATCTAGCTATGGGTCTGAGACATTTGTTAAAAAAAAACCTTAGTTATATTGGAAAAAATATATAACTTATAGTAGATCTATACCTGCCCAGTATTATAGTAGATCTATACCTGCCCAGTATAGTAGATCTATACCTGCCCAGTATAGTAGATCTATACCTGCCCAGTATAGTAGATCTATACCTGCCCAGTATAGTAGATCTATACCTGCCCAGTATAGTAGATCTATACCTGCCCAGTATTATAGTAGATCTATACCTACCCAGTATAGTAGATCTATACCTGCCCAGTATAGTAGATCTATACCTGCCCAGTATAGTAGATCTATACCTGCCCA